AGTAAAACATCATCATATAATTCAGTTGTTTTTAAAGATGGCTGCTTATTAGAATCACATCTGGAACTTTAGAGAAAAACAAAACAAAACCTTGACATTTATATTTTTCAAAAAATTCCTAGATATTTCTAATGTGTATCTGTGTTTTAAAAAGTGATTACATTTTTCTATTAAATGGTAGTCTTAGTTATATTGAATTCTATAATTTTCTGTTGACCAATCATGATACAATGCTAATAAAATGAGTAATAGTTACATAATCACAATAGTAAAATATGTTTATCAGTTTTCACAGTCAATAGCCAGACCACCCCCCCCCCAGCAAAAAGATATTTACAATTGCAAGCCATAATGTAAACATGATTAACCTAACAATAGAAGATAACTGCATATAGTTTGGGTGGTTAAGTAGAGTGATGTGGTAAGTGGAAGTGTATACTTGCACATGCTTTCATCCACCCAGCCAGTCCATGTCTTCGGCTGGTGCATTTAATCCATTTATACATAAGCTTCCCTGGTGGCTCAGTTGGTAAAGAGTCTGCCTGACCCAGGATCGATCCCTGGAGAAGGAAATGGCAACCCATTCCAGTATTCTTGCCTGGAGAATTCTATGGACAGAGGAGCCTGGTTGGGCTACAGTCCATGGGATCAAAAAGAGTTGGACACAACTGAGTGACTAACCCTTTCACTTTCATTTTTCATACTTATGGTAATTACTGATATATATGATTCTACTACCATTTTCTTACCTGTTTTTTATTAATTGTAAGTCTTTTCTTTCTCTTGTATTTCCTGCCTAGAAAAGTTCCTTTAGCATTTGTTGTAAAGCTGGTTTGGTGATATTGAATTCTAACCTTTGTCTGTCTGTAAAGTTTTTTATTTCTTCATCAAATCTGAATGAGAGCCTTGCTGGGTAGAGTATTTTTGGTTGTAAGTTCTTCCCTTTCATCATGTTAAGCATATCATGCCATTCCCTTTTGGCTTGTAGAGTTTCTGTTGAGGAAATAACTGATAACCTTATGGAAGTTCCCTTGTATGTTACTTGTCATTTTTCCCCTGTTGTTTTTAATATTTATCTTTAATTTTTGTCAGTTTGATTACTGTGTGTCCTTGTGTGTTCCTCCTTGGGTTTATCCAGCCTGGGACTCTCTGCTCTTCCTGGGATTTGTTGACTATTTCCTCTCCCACATTAGGGAAGTTTTCAGCTATTATCTCTTCAAATATTTTCTCAGGTCCTTTCTTTCTCTCTTCTCCTTCTGGGACCCCTATAATTTGAATGTTGGTGGATTTGGTGTTGTCCCAGAGGTCTCTTAGGCTGTTTTCTTTTTTTTTCATTCTTTCTTATATATTCTGTTTTGCAGCAGTGATTTTCCGCCACTCTGCCTTCCAGGTCACTTATCTGTTCTTCTGCCCCAGGTATCCTGCTATTGATTTCTCCTAGTGTGTTCTTTAGTTCTTCTAGGTCTTTGGAAAACTTTCTTGCATCTTCTCCATTCATTTTCCGAGATCTGGATCATCTTCATTATCATTATTCTGAATTATTTTTCTGGAAGATTTCCTATCTCCACTTCCTTTAGTTATTTATCTGGGGTTTTACCTTGTCCCTTCACCTGGGACATAATCTTCTGCCTTTTCCTTTTGATTAACTTTCTGTGATGTGGTTTTCTTTCTGGCAGCTGCGCCATTATAGTTCTTCTTGTATCTTCTGTCTGCCCTCTGGTGGATGAGGCTAGGAGGCTCGTGTAAGCTTCCTGATGGGATGGACTGGCAGTGGGAAAAACTAGTGGGCAGGAATCAGTAAAACTTTAATCTGATAGTCTTCTGATGGGTGGGGCTGTGCCCCCTTCCTGATAGTTTTTGGCCTGAGGCAACCCAGCCCTGGAATCTACAGGCTCTATGATGGGTCAGTGTTGGCTTCCAAGAGGGGTCCCACCAAGGGGCTCCTCCCAGCACTGCTGCTACCAATGCCCTGTTCCTGTGGCAAGTCCCTGTGGGCCCACATCTCTTCAGGAGACCATCCAAGACTGCCAAGATCTGGTTCAGTCTCCTGTGGGGTCACTGCTCCTTCCCTTGGGTCCTGGTCCATGCAATATTTTGTTTGTGCCCTCCAAGAGTGAAGTCTCTGTTTCCCCTGGTCCCATGGAAGTGAAATCCTCTGGCCTTCAAAGTCAGATTTCTGGGGGATTCCCAGTCCCTGTGCTGGATCCCCATGCTGGGAAGCCTGATGCAGGGCTTAGAACCTGCACAACAGTGAGAGAACTGTTGATGTTACTATTATCCAGTTTATGGGTCACCCACCTGGCAGGTATGAGATTGGGTTTTATCGTGATTGTGTCCTTCCTACCATCTTGTCACAGCTTCTTCTTTGTCTTTGGATGTGGGGTATCATTTTTGGTGGGTTGCAGCATTCTCCCACTGATGGGTGTTCAAAGCTAGTTGCGATTTTGGTGCTCTCTCAGGAGGAGATGAGCACACTCCTTTTAATCCGGCATCTTTACCAATTTTGGGTCTGTGTTTGAAATTTTAAAAGTCAGAAAATCTGATTTTCAAACTGTTATGCCTTAGCACAAATCAGACACTAAGTCAGAAGTTGTCAACCTGGTGCACTGGCTAAGTCTGGGTTACCATTTTTTAAAAAAGTTTAACTGAAACACAGCCATGCTTACTATTTACATATTGTGTGTGCCACTCTCCTGCTACAACGGTAGAGCTGAGTACTTTCAACAGAAATTTCCTGGCTCACAAAATCTTAAAATATTTATAAACTGCCCTTAGACCATAAAATGTGCCAATACCCAAACTAAATCTTATTCTGTATCAGACATTCATAGAGAAGCTTTTTCTAGCCTAGCTTTCTCCTTTGCATTATATATATTTATGATTTGGTGGTTCTCACAATAAATATTTATGCATGCACTCTTTGTCTGATTAGCATTGTAGAATGGGCCAAATTGTTCTTCAATATATTGATCAGATATTCTTATACTCATTAAACCAAGTATCATAATACCCTTCCCTGAGCTGAAATTTGCTGGCTTCTAAACTAGGAATGTTTCAGATTCTGAACTACTTTATGTGCTAGTGCAACTATGGTTACTTTAATTATGCAAAATAAGTAGAAAAAGTGTCAATTGGCAAAGCAGGAAAGGGATTTCAGAAATTTTAATCATTAAAGGTTTGCTTAAAAGTTGTTGATGTGAAAAGGAAAATATAATAAAATCCTAGTATTTCAACCAATATAATGCTGAGACTTATTTGATTCAGTTTCCAGGGAGTCCCAGACCCCCCCACAGTTATCGTAGAAGTGGAGCATCACACAAACTGCATTAATTACCAATAGCATGTGTTTTCTCCGATCATGGAGAACTCATATCCAGAAAGAAGCTTAGATACACAGATGTATCTACTTAGACATTCCGCATGAGTTTCTCATCTGGTGTAAGAGACAATGACTGTTAGGCCTGGGAAATGCTCTCAGCTGTCATTCACTAAACAAAGGCATCCTTCCTCTGGGGATTTACAGGATGTCACCGTGCTCTGCTTCTGTTTGTAGCAATCTGAGAGAGAGGAGTTTGGACTGATGGGAAGGCTATGGGGCCTCGATCACATTAAGTGTGAACGTTCTTCATCTTGGGGAAATTCTTTGCCTCAACAAATTTAGTTGTCCCACTTTCAGTACTTATCAGGAGGAATAGGGATCCTCGTACATAAAAGATTGGAGAGAGCCAGTAAAACTGGGGCATGTAAAAATCTGAATATCTTCAAGGTATGGTTTAGAACTTGTAAGCTGATGCAGCAGATCTAAGCAAGCTCAACTATTATATATATATATATATATATATATATATATATATAGTCGGACACGACTGATGTGAGTTAGCAGCAGCAGCAAGAGCAGCATACATATATATATAATATTATATATATTAAACATATATATCAATATATTTGTATATGTTTATATATATATATATACCTGAAGATAAATGTTATATTCTGTGTACTGTCTGAAATGTTTGACGCCAAACAAGTCTCCAGGAATGGAAGTGAAGACAGCTTGCCTAGCCATGTAGTTTAAAATAGTCAACTCCCAAGCATGCATTACACTTCATGAACTCAATTTACTGTGACAAACTTCTTACAAATAGTAATCAGTATTCGGGATACCCAGGTGACTCAGTGGTAAAGAATGCAGGAAACGTGGGTTTGGTCCCTGGGTGGTAAGAAAAAGGCAACCCACTTCAGTATTATTGCCTGGGAAATCTCAAGGACAGAGGATCTGGTGGGCCACAGTCCATGGGTTACAAAAGAGTCAGACACAACTTGGCAACTAGCCAACAACAACACAAAGCACTATTAGACTTCAAACAGAATAAGACAAAATACCAAAGCAAATTCTGTAGAGCTGGTCTAAGAACATTGTATAATTTTGCCTCAGTTGTATACACACATACTTCTTGTTGTAAAGTGTTCCCAGTAAAATACTTTGAAAACTGCCTGCCAAAGCAGACACAATGAGTGGATACAAGAATTCCACTGTTGGGGAAAATAGTGATTATTTAGAGTCAACTTATATATGATTCAGTGCTATTAATAGTAGGCAACACTTGACGGAATAAATACAAGCTAATACTTTTCTTACCTCTGATAATATTGTTAGAGGGGAAGTGAAAAGTGAAAGACACTCAGTTGTGTCCAACTCTTTGTGACCCCATGGACTATACAGTCCGTGGAATTCTCTAGGCCAGAATACCGGAGTGGGTAGCCATTCCCTTCTCCAGGGGATCTTCCCAACCCAGGGATCGAACCCAGGTCTCACGCATTGCAGGCGGATTCTTTACCAGCTGAGCCACAAGGGAAGCCCATTATTGAGGAAAGTGGCTTTATATGTTTTGCTTTAGTTCAAGTAACTAGATGCCTCCTCTGTTAGGAAAAAGTGGTGGTTGTTGTTTTTCCAGCTCATTCGTCTACTGAGTGTGGCCATTTTCTCTTCTGTCCAGGAGATTGCATCAACAATTTGAAAGCTATAAAGAACAAGTGAGGAAAATAGGGGAGGAAGCGCGGCGCTATCAGGGAGAACACAAGGACGATGCTCCGACCTGCGGGATTTGCCACAAGACCAAATTCGCGGACGGCTGTGGCCACCTGTGCTCCTACTGCCGCACCAAGTTCTGCGCGCGCTGCGGGGGCCGCGTGTCTCTGCGGTCCAACAACGTGAGTACCGTGGCCGCTAGCATCCAGCATCCCTGAGCGCAGGCGGATGCGCCCCACCTGCGCCTGCTCAGCGCAGGGGATGAGTGATGCAAAGAATTCATAAAAGATGCTCTTTGTATGTATGCACCTCACAAACAATTGCCACTCAGAACCAACAGGTTACTTGTGGGAGCACATTTGTTTTCTGAAGAAGGTCGGAGATTTGTATTTAGTGTCAGGAATTAAGAAATTCTTGAAAGTTGTTGTGGTCAGTTCTTCTTGTACAAAGCAGTAAAACCCAACAACCTACCTTTAGTTTCTGCAACATGTTTCAGATTGAATGAAGATAACATCTGTAGAGTTTGTGTGGCATTAATTTAATCCAATATAATCATTTATGAAGTGATAATTAGCCTCTGTGAGAATCCCTTCATTTACTATCATGTCTAAGAAATTTAGTACTAAGTTTATCTCATGAAAATTATTTGGATATTTAAAGAGTGTGTCAAAATATTGTTTTTTTTTTTTTATGGAGTCTTGCACTTTTGTCTCCCTAATTTGGAAAAATCACAGTTAGAATTAAAGTGAAGTTACCACTCAACATTGTTTTTTAGTAGTGTATTTGAGCTATAAGTAGGGTATTATTCTAAAATCTCTCTCAGGGGAATTAAGACATTCAGTAAAATAGACGCATTATTATACTTAAGATGAGCCTTAAAGATGTATCTTTAACCTCTCTGAAAAACAGCTTCTTTATGAAATTTTATGATAATAATTACTATATATGGTTGTTATGAGAATTAAAACAGTTCTAACCTGTGCATATTTAATTTTTTCTTTAGGTTCCATTTTTTGACCACATAATAATTTTTTTTTCCTTCTAAAACTTACGTGTTTTAGTTAATCTTCATGTGCTACCTTACAGACTTTCTAGAGCAACCGTGGATTGAGATCTTGTTTGGCACATAAAAAGTGCACAGGGTCTATTTGTTTAATTTCCCTTCTTTAGTTCTTGAAAACACTATTTTGGAATAAAATCTCACAAATAAAACCTGTGATGATATTCAAAATACTTAACAACTCACGCAGCACTCTGAAAAGTGTTGGCCCTGAGCAGTACAGTGCAAAGGTGTTGAGTGTTAATTCTGGCTGCGTGTGCATAGTGTGGGATGCTTTTAAATTCACATTATAGGTTTGAAGTAAGCCAGTAACATAGAGTCAAACTCATGTTTTAAACAGGAGATGTGTTTAAAGGAGATTGAACTAAGGGGTACTTATGCTTTCAAACAGACACCCAGGCCTAATGAAGTTCATCTATCCTTACTATACCCATTCAATCTTGGGAAAAATTAAAACTAAAAAAATAAATAAAAGAAAGCACAACTTACAATTTTTAATCTTGGGAAAAAGACAAAAATTGTATAAAGTTGGTTTTTCCTGTGACATTGTAAATGTTGAAATGCATATTACAAATAAATCAACCTTGTGGGATAATTTATGGCTAAAATAGTATAGTTCCTTTCTCTTTTTATTACAGACACTTCCCTTTCTTACATTTTTCCAATTCAAAACTATAAATATTTTAAGGACAATTTGATATAATTATTCACTTAATTTTATGCATTTTAGTATAATCTTTTCAATAGTAGGTAAACCAAATATGGTAGCATTTTTTATCTTTCTAAAGAATGTTTTAAATATAGATTTAATAATCCAAATTCTAAAAATTTCTGAAATTGTAGTGTCCAATTTTTGTACCTACAATATAGCAAGATGGTTATATGTGCATTTGGAATGAAAGTTTGAATAGTGACTATTTTTTGGTAAGAATAAACATTTACTTTTCAAAGTACCTTTATTTTTATACTTTAAAGTTGCATATGATTGTTTTCTTAAAATCTGATTATTAATATGTGCCTTATTTTTATTTTTCTCTTCTTTTCTCTCTCCCTTCACTCTGCTTCCTTGGATGCTTTCCCAAAGGAGGACAAAGTGGTTAGAATCCATGATTTCTTTTCTATCACTTGTTATTACAATGTCATGAATTTTATTAAGAGAATGTTTCACTTTCAAAAAGAAGTTAAGTGCTAGGAAGAGCTCATTCCCAGTTCTCATGGAAAAATAAAATGAATATCTAGGAGCATTACAGTTTTATATTAATAGGCAAAGACTGGATAATAGTCATGGAAATAGTGATATTTTAATATAATTAAATCATTATGAAACTCATTTGTTCTCTTAGCTCCCTGAGTTCTGAGGATAATCTGTTTGCCTTTAGGAACAATAATGAGCTCTACCTTTCTCAAAACTCTTTAGATGCATAGACAGATGATTTGAAACTTTCTGGTAGAAGAAATGGAATACATTAATTTAGTAGACAGGAAGGATCAAATTAAGATCAAGAACTCAGAATAAAATGATATTTCTCTAGAACACAAGTAGTAGAGTTGTCATATTGAACCGCAGTTTTGCTCTTTTCTTTTCCCTCATTCATTGAAACCACTCTCTCAGGGAGTAAAAGGTCACCTTTAATTTTTATCAACCTTGGAAACCACAGAGGCTATACTCAGTAAGATAGGAGATAAGTGAAATCTTCAATCAGCCTGTCCTTTGTATATATACATACTTTGTATACACACTTCCATTTGGTATAAATTACAATTCCCCCAAAGTCATTAATTACCAGTATGAGACTGAGGCAATGAGCATTTCAGGTTCAATATATCAACTCAGCTGACTCTGTTCAACTGTTTTAAATTTTACATTACATACTATAGTACATAGGTAGTCAGTGTGACATTAAGTTGGACATTAATTTGTGTTTTTAAGTTTGTTGCTAGTGTATGTTATCAGTATATTTTTCTATGAAAAAGAAATTAGATTGAAAATTATGTGGTTTAATTATTTTCACTGTGTTTCCTTGTAACATGGGTGGTATGTGAGATCATTTTAGGGGTTGTTATTTTAATGCAATACAGGTTTCCCATGCTATCTGAAAGTCGAGTGTTTCTATGAAAATTTTTGCAAGTCCAAATGGCATATAAAAGGAAGAACCAATTACCTCTGGACACATCTTGCTAACAGATGCACAAAATAAATCAGATAAAGCACAGATGCCCAGAGACAAGGTCAGAGTATGGTGACCAGACGCTGAGATGCTGGTGGGTCTGGAAAAGGAGCTTGGTGATCCTACTATCTCTGCTCTGACTGAGCACTGCCTCTATAACAGCTCACTCTAAAACAAACACAGAATGATGTTTTCACATCTCACCTTTTTTTTGCACAAGTGAAAATCCTTTTTGGATTTCCTTCATTTAGTCAAAACAGGTGCAAGTACAGGTCTTTCATGAAAGTAAAGTGGAAAGAAGTGAACTTTTGAAAAGTGGAGGACATCAGTAGTGTATCACATTAGAAAAAATGTGATCATAATATCACAGTTTTGGTTGCATGAATATTATTACTTTGGATGAGTCTGAATTTGAAGTGTAGATAATTTTTAAATCCTTTAAAGAATAAAAGTTAAGTACATAAATAATGCTGGTGTCATGCAGAACTGGTGATAAAATTTTAGCCGCTCCAGTAGAGCTGGCCAGGTTGATTGTCCTATATGTGCTTGTTATGATTACTGACTCTGTAACAAGAATTCAGGTGGATTTTGTGGTTCTCAGGCTAATAACAGAATTAAAAGACCTATAAAATACAATAGCTTTCAATTATTTTATTCACTTTGATTAGAGTGTACATATCTAAATCCTACCATTTATGTTTAAGTACTTGGTCATAATTTCATTAAACTCCTTCATAACCAATTGAGATTGTTCAATGAATTGCTTTCTAGTCCAAGGAAACTGAAACCAGATTTTGTCTTTGTGTTAAGTAGTTGAGTATTAAGCAAAGTGCTTGCTATTTCTTTCTCTATTCCTCTGGCATCTTTTATTTTTAATGGAGAAATTATAATTTGCAAATGTGTGTGTAGCAGGAGGAGGAGACTGTTGGTATGAGAGGAAAACAAAGAGTAATAGGATGAATAAAACCTTTCTAAAATCAATCTCCATCTTGATAAATGCAATGATAATGAAGTCTGCATAGGTTGTTAAATTGATGAATAATGTGATTAAAATACTACTATATATGATATGAAGACCTAAGATTAGCTAAGATATAAATATTTCTTTATTGAGTCCAGTGAAAAATATTCATGATCCTATTTTTTTTTACAGCCCAGCAATGTTTTATTTTAAAATTTTACTGTTAGTCTAAATCAGCTCCAGTAATTTGGGAGATTGTATACTTGCTTAAAAAGAAAATGGCTTGTCATATATAGTCACTTTGTAATTGACCCATAATAGTTTATAATGAGATTATTTTATATTATTTTTATTATTTTTATAATATTTATTTATATTATTTTAAAGTGCACACTTTCAGAGATAAAATGGCAGTTTTTACTTCATAAAAAGCCTCTCCAAAGTCTGAATACATAGGGGTACTGAGGATTTCCCCAAAACCTGTTTAAATTGTTTTTGTCTTTGTTTTATCCTCTGTTTGATGGCAGAGTATTGAATTTAGATAACTCCTTTGGTAAATTAACAATTTGCTTTTACTAAATCTACTGAATTGAGTTCTCTAAGTTCAATTCCTTTAGGGTTTTCCATAAATTTTCATCAGTATTTCCTTTTTGGTGAGAGTGAGTGACTGTCAAATAAAGCAAATAAAAATGAACTATCTTGCTACCTTTCTATTTAATCTTTTTTTTTTCATACAAAAGAAGTGTCATGCATTATAAGTTGAGTATTTTGTAATAAATGTAAGCAATATTCAGAAAGCAGAACATGACCATTTTCTTAGCTATTTTATTTAAAAGTAAAAGCTAAACATATCTACCCTTTAAATGTCATGTGTAAGAAAAATAAAACCTCTTTTTTTATCAAGATAATAATTAATGAGGGGCAGTGTTTACAAAGTCATGACTTTTTAAACTGGCTCCTCATACATTTTCATTGGTGTTTATTTATATATTATGCTAAATGATATGCTGATAAAGTAAGTATGTTTTTGTAGAAAACAATTCATAAAATGTAAGGGTTGGGTAGAATGAGATAGCACCTATTGAGTTTGGAATTGGTCTCATTCTAAGGTATTATCTGTGGAATAATTGACCCTTGACATCATAAAAAACTGCTCTCATAGACTCTGTTCTTAAATGCCAAATTTGTTTTTTATTTTCTTTCACTAGGGTTAGATAAATAAAAGCAATTCAGTAGAAGTATATCCATTTTAAAAAATTATTTGCATGATTGCATTATTTATTCTTATGAAAAGAACTCTCAGAATTATCCCTATTTAGTCCATGATATGATGAGTCATCTAATCATAATTTTCCACATTCACTCTTGAAAAAAAATAACTTAAGAGCGTTCCTGGACCCACTTTCATGTTCCCTCTTTCTCTCTCTATTTATTCAATTTTTTGTACTAGATGCTTTGGTGATGGTTTTCTCTGTAAGAGTGTTCTCTTATAGATTGCGCCCAGAAAGGCCTAAGTAGAGAAGTTATAAATATAGGTAAACGTATCAGTAAGGAAATGTCAGGGTACATTGAGGGGGGAACATTCACTAAGCAATTTAATTGATTAGATTTGTTAAGGTGCCTCTTAAGGTATTGTGCTTGTCTCAGTTGTTGTTATTGTTGTTTGGTCGTTAAGTTGAGTCTGACTCTTTGCAACCTCATGGACAATAACCCGCCAGGCTCCTCTCTGTCCATGGAGTTCCCAGGCAAGAACACTGGAATGGGTTGCCATTTCCTTCTCCAGGGGATCTTCCCAACCCAGGAATCTAACCTGTGTCTCCAGCATTGGCAGGTGGATTCTTTACCACTGAGCCTCCAGGAAAGCCTGCTTGTCCCAGACAGAAGGGTAAAACATCAAGTTCTAAAGAGTTTTATTGGATAATTCAGAAAGTTTTTATTCCAAATCTGTTTTAGGAATTTGCTACACTGCTCTTCAGGACCACGAAATTTTAATCTCTTGAATTTAGCCTTACTATCCTGGAAATGCTTGCTAATATTTAATAATCAGGAAGTTTATAGTCCTGGTTTTGCCCCCGCTCCACAAACCATTTTTAAAACCTTTAAACAATCTCTTTCCATAAATCACAATTTCACAACAAATGCTTAATACAGATGCATCTTAGGATGCAGAGAAAACCATTCTAGTTTCAGGAAATGGTCTGTGGAAGTCAGAACTTTCACAAAGGCAGACTAACCCATGGCAAGCTCTGTGGTATTTTGTGAACTTAAGTTCTCAGATCTGTTTTTCATTTACCTAGGAGTGGAATTACTGGGTTGCATGATAGCCCTATGTTTAACAATTTGAGGAACTGATCGTTTTCCCAAGCAGCTGCATAGCAGTGTTTATGGGTTCCAATTCTCCGCATTCTCACAACACTTGTTACTTGCTGGCTTTATTTTTACCCTAGCCATCATGTTACATGTGAAGTGATGTTATATCCCATTGTGATTTTCACAAAGCTGTTTTTAGACCAAAATTATCAAACTAATTTGATATCTCTAAGAATTTGCTTTGTATCTCACAAAACAAAAATGTTTCTAAATTAGCAACTTCTTGAGAATGAATTTTTTCAAGCTACGGTATTCAAAGTATTAGGTGTTTGGTTTCTGTAGTGATTCTTTATGTCTTTTATGTTACAATTACACAACTACTTATTAATCTACATAAACCAATCAGAACATGAGCTCTGTTGAGTTTAGGATAACTTGGAATCTAATATCTGTCTGCTTAGACCATCTATCCCTAGGATGCACACAAAGTTAGAGACTTTATTACCAATTGAAAAGACTATATTTTAAACATGCACTGAGAACTAGCAGCTTCTGTTTTTCCACTCAGCCATAGGCCCAAAATTAACACAGATATTTAAGCCCAGATTTTAAAAGATCATTCTTTTTTCAGCGTGTGCAAGATATTTTTTTTAAGTGATGTGAGCTTGCAGCAGTATGCAAACAGACCCACATAGAGACCAACAACCAGACTTTTTGTCATCCACCACGCAACTTTCCATCCCTCCCTGCAGTCAGCCTCCAGCAGATTTCAGTGGTAGACAGACTCCCGGTCATTGCTGCTGCTCAGTTCGGTTCAGTCGCTCCGTCGTGTCTGACTCTTTGTGACCCCATGAACCTCAGCACGCCAGGCCTCCCTGTCCATCACCAGCTCCCAGAGTCTGCTCAAACTCATGCCCATCGAGTCAGTGATGCCATCCAGCCATCTCATCCTCTGTCTTCCCCTTCTCCTCCTTCCCCCAATCCCTCCCAGCATCAGGGTCTTTTCCATTGCTGCTGCTAGTGGGGAATAAATTTTCAGTAGCAAACAAAGCCTATTTTATCTGGTATAACTATAGTTACTCCATCTCTGTGATGTCTGCTGTTTGCATGGTATATCCTTCTGTGTTTGTTAAAATTTAATCATACATTTATCTTTGAATCTAAAGTGTGTCTCATATAAATGACATGTACTTAGATTTTGGATTTTTTTTAATTCATTCTAACAATCTCTGCCTTTTGACTAGATTTTAATGCATTCATATTTAACATTATTACTGATATGACCGTATTTTTTTCTCCTAGCTTACATTTTGCTTTTTATGTTTTTTGATTCCTGTTTCTCCTTTACTACTTTCTTTTGCATTGAATGGGCATCTTCTAAGCATGCTTTAAATATTTCAGTGATTTTTAACTATATTTATGATTTATTTTCTTAGTGACTCTAGATTTTCCAGTTTGCAACTTTTTTTTCTAGTTTTATTGAAATATAATTGACAATGTGTAAATCAAAGGTATTCAATGTGATGGTTTGATGCATATATTTATGCATCCATCTTGACAGAATCTACTTCAACTTTACACTATCATAATTCAAGTGAAAGATATGTTTTTCAAGATTTTTTTTTTGATGTGGACCGTTTTTAAAGTATTTATTAAATCTGTCACAAGATTGCTTCTGTTTTATGCTTTTTTATTTTCTGGCCCCAAGGCATGTGGAATCTTAGCTAACCCACCAGGGATCAAACCCACACCTTCTGCGTTGAAAAGCAAGGTCTTAACCACTGGACTGCCCAGGAGAAATGTTAATTCTACATAGCTCTATTCACCTTTCTCCCTTTTTTGTGCTATTGTTTTTATATGTTTTATGTCTATATATGTTAAAATTCCAATAATGCATTGCTGTAACTAACACTTTATATGGTTTTGCCTTTTAATAAAGCCAAGAGAGGAAATGAGAGCAAGTATATATTTATAGGATCTGTTATGTAATGTTCTTATTTACTATTTTTGGTTCTCTTCATTTCTTCCTTGGGATTCAAGATACCATCTGGTGTCATTTCCCAACTCCAATTCATAGTTGCTTCCATCCATCTCCTTTGTTCTGTTATTGTCAAATCTATTTGATTTCTTTACATTATAGGCTTAACAATGCTAGTATATTAATACTGTTTTTATACTATTCTTAAATAATTCAAGATAACAAAAAAGAAATATGAAATTATATTTTTATGATTACCCCTATAATTCTATTTACCAGAGTTCTTTTTTATATGAATTCATGTTTCTATCTACGCTAAAGACTTTCCTTTAGTATTTCTTAAAAGTGAGTTTCCTAGCAATGAATTATGTCAGATTTTGTTAACCTAGGAATATATTTCACCTTCATTTTTGAAAAATAGTTTGCTGAATGTAGGGTTCTTAGTTACCAGCCTCTTTTTCCTTCTTTTAGCACTTCAAGTATATCATCCCACTGCCTCTGACCTCCACTGTCTCTGATGAGAAGTCAACTGTTAATCTTACTAAAAGCCTGTGTGTGTGTGTGTGTGTGTGTGTGTGTGTGTAAGATGAGTGTATTTTCTCTTGTTTTTTCAAGAATTTCTCTTTTCCTTTTGTTTTCAGTGTTTATTGTGATATGTATGTATCTGAATAATGGATCTCTTTGTGTTGTTCCTAGTTGGGTTTATTGAGCTTCTTAGATGTACAGATTGATGTTTTCCATCAAATCTGTGAAGGTTCAGCTTTTAATGCTTTGTGTTTGGAAGGGATCTCTTTCTGTCCTCATTATGGCAATGCCACATATATTCCTGTGGCTGATAGTCTTCTACATTTCTTCAAGGTTCTGTTCATTTTTCTTCATTCTTTTTTCTTTGTTTTCACCAGGTCTCATAATCACTATTGATTTATCTTTATATTCATGAATTCTTTATTCTGCCAGTTTAAAACTTAATATTGAATCCCTCTAATAATTCTTTTCATTTTTAATCATTTTATTTCTTTAATAAGTTATATATCTTTATCTTCTATATTAGATGAGATGCTGTTTTCTTCTTTTGTTCTTCGAGCATGGTCACTTTAGCTCTTTGAACATATTTACAAGTGTTTTTTT